TTATTTATTTTGAGTCATAATCTCATGTATCCCCGGCCGGTCTCAAACTGCAGCCAAGACTGACCTTGAACTTCTGATTCTGCTGCTGTGCGCCACCAAGCCTTGCTAATGCAGTGCTAGGGTTCAGACCCAGGACTCTGTGCATGTTAGACAAGCAGTGTACCTACTGAGCTACATCCCTAGTCTCTTAGAGTATTGGTTTGAATTAAAAATCCCACCACACTTTAAATCTTTTGGTTGGGAGGGAAGAATGTTGTTCCTTTCTTTTAAATGTATTTCATTCTAAGTGAATAAAAGGGAACACTTGAAATACAGAGGGATCATTTTTGGTTCAATCACTTTATTTTTCCACTTTGACTGAGAAGAGATTAAACCATTACAAAGAAGGAGGGCAGAATGAAGAGGCCTGGTCAAGTATCAGAGAATTTAATGGGATTTGGATTCTAGATTAAGAAACACCTTCTGCTCAAGGAAACCGAAAGAGAGCCTTTTGTAGAATTCAGAGTTTTATCTTGATAAGCAAGTTGAAGGTCAAATCCGAGATAATTAGTTGGATCATTCCAGGAAAAAACAAACAACACTCAAAATAGCTAGGATTTTATGCATAATTCTCCCTCATTTTCTCTGCTGAATCTAAAACCAAACCAGAAACAAAGTCTTTTCAGCATCTAGGTACAAATTGGCTAATTATCTCTCATACATGTAATTTGGCTAGTACTTAGAAGAGGTAGGAATCATAATATAGCCTTGGTCCTAACTGCAAACTGCTTCTATATAAGCCAGGCACAACAGATCTATCTATGCAAGAGCCCAACAGAAGAAGAGACCTGTAGTCTTCTGCTCAGGTATTTGAAGAAGCAGCCTTGATCTGAGATGCTATAACACAATACCACAAGCCAGGCGACTTAGTTACCAGGGGTTTATGCCAAGTGTTTACAAGGTCTTGGCAACTTAGCTAAAGAATTGAAAATAAGGGCTCATAAAGGTTTGCAAAAGAAGCAAGATAACTTCATTTAGATCAAAGCAATAGTACAGATTAAAGAGAGGTACATTGTCAAAATTGGCAGAGGGCCACAGGAACAAAGATTCTCTAGGACAAAAGCTATAGCCTGGGGTCTCTTTTTATGAGGACTGAGGGGATAAAGGCTGGTTACTAAGAGCATATTTTGGGTGGTTCTCTGTTGATTGATAGGTTATATAATCATTTCTCTATTGTACATGCCCTTTCCCATAATGCATCTGATTTTAATCACATGCTTACATAATTATGGATAGGCATATGATGGTAAATAGGGGATTCTCCTTAAAAGATTCCCAGAGGACACAGTTTTGTCTGACTGTAACCAACGTACTGATCTGTACGGTTTTGTCTGACTGTAACCAACGTACAGATCTGTACAGTTTTGTCTTCTGAGGTTGGTAGATGCATTGTTTGGAGAGGGATGTGTGTGCAGAGCATTGTAGGTGAAGGAATTACGTTGCCTAGTAGATTATTATAACAGGTGTATGTGTGCATAACCCAAAACCAAATGGGGATGCCAGGTAAGAAACTACCCATCCTATGCTTAGCAGCCTCAACTTAACAAACACTTCCTTCACAGTTCTAGGTTCTGTAAGTCTAAGATCATGTTACTAGGAGGGTGAAAGTCTGATAAAGCTCTCTCTGAATATGTCCTCATATGGCCTTTCCTCTATTGATAAGGAAGGGAGCCTCTTCCTGGGCCCAAGTCCTCTTGGATCGAGGCCCCATTTGTACATTTACCCTTAATTGCCCCCTCACCTACAAAGGCTCCATTTCCAGATAGAGGTACATAGGGGTTAAGGCTCAAAGGTATGAGTTTTGAGTAGACTGCATAACCTGCATGAAGTTAGAAAAGGGTGGGGCCAGCGTCACAGGTACTGTATCATGGGAAGGAAGGGCAGAGCACTTCTTGAGGGTGTGTGATGTGAAGTCAGACCTCACACTAAGATCCAAGCCACCACTTTCATCCCATGCAGACTGCGCCAAGTGCACTGCAGAGGACTTTTTTTCTCTTTCCTTTCCTTTTGTTTGAGAAAAGGTTCTCAGCATGTTGCCTATTGGCTTGGAACTTGATTTGTAAACCAGGATGGCCTCGAACTCACAGAGATTGACCTGCCTCTGCCTCCAGAGTGCTAGGCTTAAAGGTGTGTACTACCATGCCTAAGGCCTTACTTTTTAACCAAACAAGTTAAAACAACAATAAATAAATGAATAAATAGCTAAACTCACACTCCACAAACACACATGGCTGTACAGAATTCAAAGTCCCCGTTGCCAATCAAGAATCACTAGAGATGATTTTTTCAAATGCACGCTCACCTGAAAGTCCACTCTATAAAGCAGATATGAGTATAGGTGCCCAGCATATACACAGCTCTGTGAGGGAGTGAGCAATGAACAGGTGCAGCATCCTTCTGTGACCCTAACTACTACCATCACTGGTAACTATTGAAACTCAGATTCTAAATATGGAACCATTCCATTGGGTCTTGGACTCATCCATGAAAGAGAAAAATGGAGTGCTGCTGTACTATGGGTTCTACTGCATTTGCAGTTACTACCCAACCACTCTCCTAAAGTTCACTCAAGCTCACTGATAGGATCAATTGCTAAGCAAAGAAGGAGTTTCCTTAAAAACTGAGAATCCCATAAATTTTCAGAGACAAAAAACTCCAGGAGCCTTGTATCAGGAATCTGAGAGCATGAACAAACCATTAATTTTTTTTTTTTTTTTTTTTTTTTGAGACTAGGGATGTAGCTCAGTTGGGAGAAGCCCTGTATTCAATCCCAACATAGACATGATTGCACTCCAGTTATCTCAGAATTTGGGAGGTGGAGACGGTGGGAGATCAGGAGTTCAAGGCCATCCTGGGCTCCATAGTGAGTTTGAGGCCAGCCTAGGTTATATGAAAACCTGTCTCAACAAATAATCAAAAAACACTGGTGCCAGCTATAGAGTTGTGTGTTTGTAATCCCAGCACTTGGGAGACTGAGGCTAGCCCTGGCTACACAGTCAGTTCGAGGCAAGTCTGAGCTACCAAATAAGACTGTCTCAAAAACAACAAACTAAACAAGTTTTGTTAACTCAAGCTTGTATTGATGTCTAGCAACAACATCTCTGCCCCACAAGCATATTGCCTCTGAGCCCTGGTGGCAGACAGTGCTAGGACCCAGCTGTAGGCATTTGCCGAGTGGTTAGCTAATGCTGTGGAATGCAGCCTGTGACTGTTTCATGAAGTTTTCCCTCTGAGCAAACAAGCTGGCTATAGAGGTAATCACACAAGCTCACTTACTCCCATTAGCAACCCCAAACAAGCAAGTGGCTTTACCCAAACAACAGAAAAGACCAGGTTATTTTTAAATGTGCCCATTTAGCATGTTTCACAATTTGTGATTTCCCAACAAGAGGAATTATACAACTACTAATAAGAGAATTGAGAAGCAGACATACCAAATAGGGGAGAGACAAGGCGGGCTACAAGCACATTAGAAATGAAAGTAAGACATGTAGCATGCTGTTAAAATTGAATTTAGCTGGGTATGGTGGTGCACACCTTTAATCTGAGCACTGTGGAGGCCAGTCTCTGAAAGTTCAAGACCAGCCTGTTCTACATAGCGAGTTTTCTTCCAGCCAGGGCTACTCAGTGAGAGCTTGTCTAAAAATAAAAAGTAAATAAATTGAGTTTAGTAGAGAGGTGGATTGTGACTTTTGGTGATAATCTGAGCTTCCCAGGAAAGCATTAGATTGTTTTCCTCCCAACATGTTTGACTTCCTCTATTTTTTTTTTTTTTTTTTTAATAAATATGTTCCAAACTAGCTTTGAGGAATTCATCCTGGTTGTTAGGCCCAAGGGAGTACAGCAAGTCAGGGAGGTAGAAGTGTCCTGGTTTCCCATAATGTTCTTGTGGAGGCTGTGTTGAAGATGACTGGCCCTTACCCTCGTAGGCAGCTCCTGCTGAGTTAAAGACAATGTGGCTGGAAAATCCCACAGCCTGTTACAATTGTGTCATCTCCCATTTATGAATGGAGAGTAGGCCTCCAGCACACTCTTCTGAGAATCCTCCAGAACAGCTTTGCTAGTTTACATCATTCTCCAGGTGATCTGGGAGAAAACACAACGTGAAACTCTCAGATGCATTGTAACAGTTACATCCTTGCAGGTAAGCCTTGCATTTGTGAGACAGCTGTAAGGAGAGCAAATTAATTCCACCCTTCAATAAACAGCTTTTTCAGTCACCTGAATGCATGCTTACAGCAATTTTCACAGATGTAAGGACCTGGCTAATGGATAATATTATTCTTAATTAAATTTTACTTTTTAACATACTAAACTACTGACAAGATGTGACAGCCAATCTTGCTTTTAAAAGATTTACCTAATTACCTGAAGGAAGCCTTATTTCCGGGGGAGACTCATCTGTTGGACAACCCCTTTCATCTGAACACCAGGAAGTGAGTCAGCTTTACCAACTATAATCTCCTTCGTGTTTTCTTATTCATCAGGAATAGGAACAAATTCGGTTCCTCCCAGAACCTGGAATTACCAACTGTGCAGGTCATTGATGAAATCAGCCCTTCAAACAACTCCAGGTTCTGTTGTCACAGATCTTAACAGTCTCTGATTGGAAAGGTGCCTGGCTGGTCACAAGACTGGATGACTCATCAGTGTTAGCTAAACACAAAACTCAACGGACAGAATCCTGCACCATGATGTCATTTCTTTTCTATGTGTCTTTAACATAGTTTAGATACAGAGGTCTTGGGTAATATGCAAAACTTTCAAATAAGAAGGTCGTGTCCAAAATACTTAAAGAAAGAAAACACTTCACAGTCATGACTGAAGTCAACGGCAATACAGGCTCCAAAATTCCAAGGCTTGTGGTATTTGCTGATACAAAGTACTCCACAAGGTTTTGCAGCGAATAAACTAATCACTTGGGCTGGTTAAAGTTTAACTCAACCGAAATAGTTTGGGATTAAGTAACTATTGAGGAATACCAAGTTTGGTAGTGATTAAAAATCAACAAATCACACCAACTGTTCCTTGACACCAATCAAAATAATGTGTAAGGGGATTTTAAACATGTTTCAAAGTCAAGTGAAAATATCAACGGTGTTTATGTACAGGAAAGGCAATCATCGGTAACTTTCCATCTCCTTTCTGTTTAAGAAGCATGTACTACTTTTTCAGTGCAACAACAGCTTCAAAAATGCAGGGTCAAAAAGAACAAAGTCCCAAGTTTTCTTAGAGTGATCCATAAAGGGCAGAACATAAAAAACAAACAGACCAAGTCACCTGACCACTCCTCTTTGTTGATAACTTTCAGGAAGACAGCAAGGGGTGTGGAGCCAGGGAGATGAGATCACTGTTTACCTACCAGCTATTGGTCCGTAAGGAGCGAGAGCGGAAGATAGTTCCCGGGCCAGTCAGTGTAACACTGGTAGCAATCGCTCGTCAGAAACTGAATCCCTCATTTAGTAAAAGCCAGCCAAAAATACATAGAAGGTAATAAATTATACTGATATTACTGCATCCCCAAATCAGTGGATTTATTTGGAAAAGACAGGAGTTAAGGGGACAAGACGGGAATGTTTCACTTGGAAAAGGAGTGGGATCATGTGACAGAGTGATTTTTTTTCAAATTGAGCAAATCATTGTTTAACTTCCTTTTCCTAGTATTGCCTGTTTGCTTCTGGGAAGTCTTAATAAAACACAGAGGCATTGTCCGACTGAAAAGCGGAAGTCAAGGATTTGAAAGTGATGGTACAACCTGCTCTCTCACGCCCAGCAAAAGCAGCTGGATTTGAAGAAACTGCCTTCTGTACCCATTTAACTTCACTTTTTTAAAAAAATCTTGTTTAAATCTGTCTGCCATTCAAGAGTATTTTTCATAAACTCTTTTACATTAAGACAGACTTTTTTTCAAATAGTCTTGGATACTTCAATCTCTTCCAGTGTGTGTGTGTGTGTGTGTGTGTGTGTGTGTGTGTGTGTGTGTGTGTGTCTCTGTGTGTGTGTTTGTGTGTGTTTTAGTCGTGTTTTCATATGTGCATTCATGTGGAGGTCACAAGACAACCTCAAGGATTGTTCCTCAAGCTTTGTATACCTTGGTTTTTTGAGACAGTTTCTCGAAGGGACTTTGGACTCACTGTTTAGGGTTGGGTCGACTGTCTGGCAGGACCCAGGTATCTCCTTCCTCTGTCTTCCCAGCACTCAAATTACAAGCCCATACTGCCATGCCTGGCTCTTTTATCAAGGGTTCTGGGGCTCAGACTCAGGTAGATCTTCACGCTTGTGTGGCAAGCATAGACTGACCTATCTCCCGAGCCCCAGCCTCTTCTTTTTATGATGGCCCCACTCCATCACATAGGTGGTCTGTGTAGTCTTCACTCTTCCAAAATTCTCTGTGTGCACAAAATATTTCACTGTATGAAAGCCTACTTTTGTTGTTAAAATGTATTAAAACACAGCAGGGTGTGGTGGCACATGCCTTTAATCCCAGCACTCAGGTGTGTAGAGGCAGGCAGAGCTCTGTGAGACTGAGGCCAGCCAAGTGTACATAGCGAATTCCAGGCCAGCTGGGACTACAGGGAGACCCTGTCTCAAAAAGACCAAAAGAAAAATGTATTCATGACTAACACCCCTTCCCAGAGCATTAACACTCCGTAAATTCATACCTGCTTTCTGGTCTCTTATCTGATAATACCTCTTTGAACAAACAGAAAAAAAATATATAATATTATATATTATATGCATATTATTATCATATATAATCTCATACATGGAGGTAGAGGTGTCCCCACAGAGCCCCAGAGGTTTACACAAAATTGTTCTACTTCTTTTCGCACACATGTTTTTATTCACAATTAAAATGTAATTAAAAATTGGACGTTATTTATTCAGATTAGTAAACTACACATATATATGAACTATCTTACAAATATTTAAACCTTAGAACATATATGCTGTGTACTCAATAACTTTCTTCCACCAAATTATATAAACTCAGTAAGCCATTACAAGGAAGCAAAACTCCCTAGTAACCATGGCTACCAAGCATCCTGGGTAGCCAAGAAAAGGGGATGTATCCAATACCAGTAAAGCAGCACTTTTCTGGCTTTATTGTCCTTCAGTAAAACAATATCATGACTTTAACTGACCTATTCCTCCCTGTTTTAAAGAAACTTCAATCTCCTCCAGGACTGCTCCCAAGAAGTCTTTTATAAATATGCTAACCTTTTTAGTCATTAAATAAAATTATATGTGGGTTTAAGTCTTCCTTATCTTGCTTTTGTATTGTTTGTTTGTGTGTTTGTTTGTTTGTTTTTGAGACAAGGTTTCTCTATGCAGTCCTGGCTAGCCTGAAACTCACTATGTTAGTCTTGAACTTTCAGTCTCCTGTGGTTGCCTCCTGAGTGCTGGAGGTACAAATACACACAGCCACACTGAGCTCATTTTGCATTTCAATGAGATTTTGCCTCACACTTTCATTGCACTGAGCATGGTGATTGTACATATAAGGGACAGACTTGCACTTCTAAAAACTATGGAGTTAAAGACAGCAGGAAAATTGTCATCGTGTTTCAATAAAGACCGCTCTATCACGTTGAGACATGGCTAAATATTGGGCATTTATTTCTTCAACAAATTTAAGGTGTGTAATGAAGATTGGTCCCCCTCCAGATATCTTAACATTAAACAACACCACTTAGAGGCAATGTTTCAATTCTAAGGCCGACTTCTGTCCCCATTTCTGGTTCTAAACTGCAGCAGTTGACTCTGGAGAAGACTGAAAGCTGCTTGTCTTTTGAAGCAACTCCATCCCACATAATCAAGGTCTACAAGTTTACCTAACCAAGGTGAGAAGCAACTAAGGTCATCGTGGGACACATGTGCAATTTCACATCCTGAGGACACAATCTGAATTTATGAATCACTCAGTACTTGTTTAAAGTTAACTCAGAGCTTATACATTTCTCCCCCTCACCTTCTTATGAAATAGTTTTTAGCAAGGTTTAAAATTATGGATGACGGAGCTGGAGAAATAGCTCAGTGGTAAAGGACACTTACTATGCAGCACCCACATCAGGCAGCACACAATAACCTCTAACTCCAGCTCCAGGGGATCTGATGCCCTCTGGCCTCAATGGGCACATGCAGCACATGGTACATATAAAATCAAGCAGGCACACACATAAAAATAAATAAATCCTTTTGTCTTTGAGTTCATTTACATGTTTTATTACAGTTATTGACTTAGGTACATTGATAATGATGACTATTTTTTTTAATTTCCAAATAGTAATATTTATAAGAATACCCTGAGATTCTATTGCAATATTCCCCAGGGTAAGTTGGTAGGGAAAAAAATGCAGAGCAGAGGCTGGAGAGATGGCTCAGTAGTTAAGAACACTGGCTGCTTTTACAGACAACCCAAGTTTGGTTCCCAACACCCACATGGCAGCTAACCACCATCCATAACTCCAGTTCCAGGGGAATCTGATACCATCTTCTGACCTCTGCCGGGCATTACACAACACGGGTGCATTTACACACATGTAGGCAACACACTCATACACGTAAAATAAAAGTAATAAATTTTTTTTAAAAACATGCAAAATGCACACACAGTGTTTGAGACGTCATCCTAAATATATATATATGTATTGTAGCACTCACGAGTTCCTAGGAATGTCTAATTTTAAAAAAGTCTGATAATCCAAAATTCTGTATCCTACAAATTACAGTAATTGGTTATTTGGCCCATCTAATGTGATTTCTTCCGCCCTCAAAAGCCAGCAATTCATCATAAATGGCTAGCTCAGCAACAGAACAAATGATCACTTCAGAGAGCTGATTATCCTAACAGTGTTTCGTTAGCCCAGATATGTCTTAAGAAATGAAAGAGAAAGAAGAATTTGAAACAAAGTGACCCTCAGGGGAGTGATTATGCAATACAGTGTGTTAAAATTTCCAAGGAAAGCAGTTATTAGACTACTGTAATCTTAATATATCTGCTTAATTGCTCTTTTAAAAAACTAACCATTGAAGAAGTAATAAGAAAGGACATTAACTTTAAATGACATCGAAAATATTTTTCTGCTTCCTTGAAAGTCAGAGAGTTTCAATCTAGTGACTATTTGAAGGAGAAATATCCACACACCAAACCAAAGGCAGCATTCGCAAAACAAAATTAAAATGTGGGTTCTGTAATACTTCAGCACAACCATGTCGTGTCCCAGAAGCTTGCGGAAAAGGGGGGTAGGAGATTATAAAAAAATCACAAAAATTCAATTTTAAAAGTAAATTTGGGGGGGCGTATTTATGGACTTTTCCCGAAAACTCAGTCAAGAGTTACTTGTGTACACAATCATCATCCCTCCAGAAGATTAAGAGTTTGAAAAGCACTGTGCAATGTGGTGTCAGTTGTAAGGGCTTTATAGAAACCAAAGTTCATGGACTTCCCTTTCTCCGCACAACTGGGTGAGCTCTGTGTGTGTGTGTGTGTGTGTGTGTGTGTGCGCGCGCGCGCACGCGTGCATGTGTGCATGTGT